CCACACCCGGCTGATTTTTTGATTTATTGTAGAGATGAGGTCTTGTCAATTGCCCAGGCTGATATTGAACCTGTGAGCTCAGGCAATCCTCTCACTTTGGCCTCCCAAAGTGCTGGGATTATAGAGTTCTTTTAAAACTACTTCACTCCACACTCACCATTCCCCAGGGGACTAACTTAACACAGGAGAAAACTGGTCCCAGATGATTTTGTGGGCACAAGCTACATGAGACAGTCAGAGCCTGGTGTCCAGGCTCCTAACCCAGTGCACTTCCGTCATTCTCGGCACCAGAGAGTTCAGAACCCTGTGCCAGTGACAGCAGTCTTCCCTCAGGATTGCGGCAAGGGGAAGCAAGCCCTCAGGACTACAGGCCAAGCAAAGCATTAGCAGTTTGAAACAACATGGGCCCTGGAAGGATTTATGGGAAGCATGGCAAAAGTTCCCTTTTTTATGCTTCTAAGGATTTCCCAGCTTTCAACACTTTCTCCCTTATTTGGTTGAGTGACATTTCTAAAGTTGACCACTGGTTAGTCATTTTGTTGTACATGTCGAGCAAGGAACCACAGTGTCCAAATACCCGAGACGTGTGTGTGGATGGTATATGCATGTGTGTGCATGTGTGTGGGGAGAGGTGCCTTCCCTGTGGGAAGATGCCCAGTATTTTCTGCCGCTTTATTAATCTCTGGTTTGGCTTTCAACTCACCCTGAAGCTTAAGGGAACAGGCAAAAATGGTCCAAAGTGTTTTCCAGAGGAGGTCACCAGGTGTTATGAGAAGGAAAACAAACAATGAACAGTTTCATGGTTAAGTACATTTGAGGAATTCTGCACACTACACCCCTCCTGGATTGTTAAAATGTTCATTGGTCTAATAAAGGTTCTCATAAGTTCAACAGTCATCCTTTAAACTTTAAAATATGGGCTGATAATATTTAACTTAATATTTTCCAAGCTTTTTTGATTAGAAAACCACCCTGTTCTCCTTTCAAAAACTTTTTAAGGAGCATCCTGGACATACTTAGGGAAAATGGCTCTATAAAGGGAATGAAGGTTAGCAAGATGTTCGCCGTCTTGTGTTCCTTTTCCAAGTCACTGACTTTGTCCTGGAATTAGGGCTTAGAGAGAAACGCAACCAGCCTCAGCACTACCCTTGAGCTTCTTCCAGCCAACCCTGGCAGAAGGACTCTAAACATCTGAGCCCACACATTGGTACCAGTGACTCCGAGTCTCCATGCAGGGACAGCAGGCATTGGAAATGGGGGACATTTCAGGCAAAGCCTAGTGCTGCACTCAGTGCCGTCCACTGGAAAACCTAGACAGGGGCATGAAGAGCCCTAAGAGCACCACACAAGGTTGCTTTTTAGTAGTCACAAGGCAGTCTGTGATGTGACTCTGAGTTTTGTACAAGCTGCTTCCTCTGCCTGGGATGCTCCTGATTTATCGACACTATTTCTTCAGTTCAGTCTCAATGTCACCTCTAACTTTATAAAGGGGGGTCCCCTGTTATAGTCTCTTATAGTGTCCTGTGTGTAGTCTTTTAGCATTTTTCATCACCTGAATCATGACATATTTTACTTTTTAAAAATATTGTCTGTCTGCCCCCAAATAAAACAACTCCACAGGGGCAGAAATGTTTGCTTTGGCCACTGTTTGATCCCTGATGCCTAGAACTGTGCTGGGTGCAGTGTAGACATACTGTTAAGTCTTGTTGTAAAGAACAATTATGCAAGTTTTTCCAACCTGGCTGAGTAATTGGTTGCTGGGAGTTGATGGGCAAGTCCACTGACCGCCAGTGGGCTGCATGGTGGTGAAGGGGGTGGCTCATAATAAATGTTGGTGGGTGGGCTGCCTGGTTGGATGCATGAGGAAGTATAGAGGCACAGAGAGCGATAGAAATGAGTTTTTATTTGTAAAAAGTTACAAAATGATATTGTACAAAAATAAAGTCTGTAGAGAACTTTGGTTGTATAACACAAACGACCGAGACAGATCAGAGAAGTCAGAACTTCCAAAGAAGTGCCACTCTTACTGTATCAGATGGTAATTGCAATGATTAAGAAAAATCACAAACTTTACCCTTTTGTGGATTTGGTGGAGCAATTTGCTTCCATTAAAACCTGCTTATGCATTATTCACAATAGCAAAAACATGGAACCAACCATGCTGCCCACCGAAAGAGGACTGGATAAAAAAAATGTGGTACATATACACGATGGGATATTACGCAGCCATAAAGAAGGACAAAATTATGAACTTTGCAGCAACCTGGATGGACTTAGAGGCTATAATACTGGATGATCTATCACAGAAACAAAGAACCTTGTAACACATGTTCTCACTCATGAGTGGACCTTGAACGACTATGGTAATACTGTAAGAAAGGGATTGGCAGTAGTGGGAAACTACCAGGAGATGGCCGGGGCAGGATTGGCAGAAGTGAGAAACCGCCAGGGTGTGGCAGCACACCTCATCAACAAGGGTGCCTGCATAATGAACATTTGTATAATCCTGAATTGTACCCCACATATTTAAAATTAAAAATAAAAAAAACCTGCTTATGGTGTGTAGGAGATGCCGAGAACGAGCTGTCAATACCCGTTGGATCCTACAGTCCTTTGGGGCAGGGACTTTCCAGGGGAGCTGGGGGTTGATTGAGGTTGAAATCTGGGACCAGCAGCCATCACATTGGCCAGGATTCTCTGAACTGATGATCCTGGGGCTACAGATAAATTGCACTTCAAGAGTGACCTGACTGCGCCGCGGGTTTGTTACTGTTTTGAGCAGGCTGAGTTTCAGCAAGACCCCAGGGGAGGGTGAGAGTGAAGCCCTTTCCTCTATTTCCCAGTCGTGCAAGGGGAGCTGAGAGGACAAACAGAGGCAGACGGGTGGAGAACTTGGGTCTTTCTTTGGAGGTGAAGGGGGCAATTGCTACTTCTTGATTACTTTGTAAAATTAGCACGTTTATTTGAGGGCGGCCAGTAGGTCATTTAATCGCTAAATCTGTCATACTGTTGTGGCTAACAGCCACTAAGGTGGAGATACATGATCTCCCTGATGAAAATCCCTTTCTGAAAATGTGTAACAAGCTCTAACATAGGACCTAGTGCATCGCTCATGTGTCGGCTGCTAGACAAATCCACAGTCTGGGGCTCGCAGGAGGTGGCTGTTCCCACCCTATGCTTCCTCCCTTCTGACCTCTTTCTTTGTCAAGGTAGCACTCTCAGAGCATGAGGCTCTGTGTATGCAGCTTTCTGGGTGTTTGCCGTGGCTGGGCCAGATACAGCTTCCTCGGCACCCTTCTCAGCCACCTTCTTCCCAGGGTGTACTGGAGCAGCGTCTGTTGACCCCAGGCGACAGCCAAGGGGGCTTGAATATGACGTGGCAGACCCCGCTTCTGGAAGGCCATTGTGTGCTCCTTGGCTGCACTGGGCAGCCGGTGTATATTTCTCAGGAAGGCGGCGGGTGGGCAAGGAGGGAGGAAGGGTCTCCAGAAGTCAGAGCAAAACCTTGGCTACCTGACAGGTCAGGTACTTTACTTCTAGGTCGACATTAAATCCAGGACTACCTACTAAAAGGCATTCAACCTCTGTATATATATGGTTATGCATATCCTAGATAGATATATCTGGAGGGGACTAAGAGCTTAAATACAACAGAAAGTGGAGCCTATGGCGTTTCTGCTCAGTGATGGAGCAACAAAGAAATAAAGCCAAGTGCCAAACGGTCTCCGCACGCCACTCCAGGGAAGGGGGCTGGCTGGAGACACACACCTCAGACATAAATTTTTTCAAAATAAAAATTAGGAAAAATGCTAAAATCCGGGGAAAATTAATGAAAGATTTGCTTAAAAAGGTAAAGTAAGTGATTTTTGCCTGGCAAAAAACTTTTTAATACTTTGAAAAAGCATGGACCCTTGTTCTCAATTCAAATTCCCTTTTGTCACCTTTCTTTGCATTTTGTGAGCACATATACTTTGGCACCTTTGAAAAGAAACTTTAATAAATAAGGGAAAAAAAGAGAAACCCATTAGTGAATGGTAATAAATAACAATAACTTAAATCTCAATAAATATCTTCTCTATATTTCTGTATCTGAAACGGATGCATTGCATCGAGTAGCTTCTCTGGTCACTGGTGACCACACATCAACGGAGCTGGGTATGTAACATCTGTCTCTCTGTAAACCAACAGGCCCGAGGGCTCTCCCTGCCCCGGGGCAGCTGGGGACCTTCCCCACTTCTCTCCTACAAAAATGCTGCTCGTTTCCTGTTTCCAAGGACATAAAGGAAATACCTTCAGGTTTGTTTTTAATCATGAGCACAGCCTTTTTGGTTCCTAGCCAATTTCTTCCCACCCCACACATTGTGTTCAAGATCAATCATCAACCATTCACAAAAATGCTGGTTGTAGTAAACCTCAGGCCTCAACTTTCAAATTAAAAAGTTATAATCTCTTGTGTCTTTGCTGTTTTTTTTCTTTCTTCTCCTTTCCAGGGCATGTCTCCACTGAGTGACAAAAGAATAAACCTTTCTTACTTTCATCAGTAGGACGTAGTGACAAGGAGTGACACCAGGATTACCGTTTCCCTGGTGTCTTCAGACATGTGAAAACAAACCACAGGAGATACACTGGTTTGGCTCTTCGAGTGCATCCGCAACTGTGCCCATGATGGGTGATGGTGGACTGTATCAGCTGAAACGATGGTGACAGCCACGCAGGATCATCAGCCCTGAGCTTCTGGTGACATCGGCTGCTGTCCTGAAGAATCCAGATGGCTGTTTTCTTTCTCTCCTGTCCAGTTTTCTGTAGCTTGATCTCCTTCTACCAGGCTCCCATGATAGCTGCCTTCCTCTTTCTCCTCCTCCTCCTCCTCCTCCTTCTCCTCCTTAGCCTCTGCCTCCTTGGTCCTCATCTTCCATTCTGGGCAAACATTTCCTGGGAACCTTGGTCCCTTCTTTGCACTGTAGCAGGAATGCAATACACAGCAGTCTCTGGAGCCGGAGTCAGATACATCCACACCTTTTAGCGGAATGCTTTTTTAGAGTATGGTAAACCAGGTTGTCATCTAAAAACGACAGGTCGTCATCGAAGGCAATGGGTCTGCAACATGCCTGCCCTACTTTGTCACTCACCAGCCTTCTACTTTTGGATAAGTTTTTTAATATTTTGTCATACGTTGTCTCAGCAGCATCGCAAGAACCGCTGCAGTACTTAAAAATCAGTTCCTCCTTGGTTTCGTAGCCAAAACCCAAGTCAGTGACATTTAAATGTATTGCAGTTAAGACACAACCCCGATTCTTGCCCCTCTGGCCTCTGCGACCTTTTCCTCTGGAATTCTCCAGATTGGCAGCTGCAGCCGGTCGATTCCGCTCTCTTCTAGGAAGCACTGCCATTTGTTTATCTGGTGACCTTTTCAGTCTTTTAATGGTGGCTTGGATAAAATCCATGACATCATCAAACTGATCAGGATAATCCTCTGGCATATTTGCTGTTCAACAAGAAAACAGAAAATGTCACATGAGACCACAATGGTCATTTCAAACAGTCTTCTAGATCAAAGTGCCCCTTAAGTCAGTCAAAATTGGGCCCACAGCAAAACTATCCGCCAGTTAAGCTAAGTGACTACTGTAATCCCCCAAGAACAGACCCTGAAATGCACAGAAGAAAGGTGACTTAGTCGGCGGTGATGACACATTTCCTTGAAGAAAACTAATAAGTGTATTTTTCATTTGAATAACATGTGCCATTTTTAACAAGTCAATAGAGGGGTTATCGTGAATAGGCAGGTCCTCTAAGGTCACTTTTCTAACCTAGCCACGTAATGTAGAGTAGTGACTTTTAAACACGAGGGAGTAGGAAATACCGTCTTAGAGACTGAAAAAAGATGAAGTCTTCCCACATCGCTACTTTCATCTGGAATACCAAGTGCTAGTCCCTGAAATTTACCCTGACTTTGCATGGCTGAGTGGGACAAGAACCTTTCTGATGGAACGAATGAAGAGCTCAGGAACACAACTATATTTTCAAACTTCCTTAAAAAACGTTAAGGAATGGAAAACAGCTTTTATTTCACTGACAAAGAGACTAATTTACCACTTCCTCTGAATAGCATGACTTTAACAAAAAAGCCCAGTGATACAGTATGATGGCATTGAAATGTTATCTGAACAATAAATGAAATGAGGTGCTGTTTGTGGATAGACACAGCCCCAGTTGTTGAGGGTGGGGCGAGGGGGCAGGGGAGGGGGAGATCCAGTCTGTTGCTGGCTGTCCCACAGCCACACAGCTCCCACTCCCCGGCTGCAAGCAGGCCAAGATACGCTCTGGGGAAATCGCATGGAGGAATTATGGGAGATACCAAGATGTCTAACACTTTTGGCAAAAGTACGAATTAGCAATCTCTTGGTGCTTTCTGCTGTATTTAGCTTTTGCATTGGCCAATCGAGTAAGAGAAAAATAACTATTGGGACAATTCAATAACTTTCTACTGAATTCAATTCGATAACTCTTTTCTTTCTAAAAGAGGAAAGCAATTCAAATACATATTTATTAGGTATTCGGCCTTTTTTGCTCCCCTCACCTAATTTTTAGATAATTTAGTATGTCTAGATTTATAAGTGGCTTAGAGAAATGTACTTCAGAAGAGTTGTTAGCAAGAGTAAATGTTTTGTGCCAAGGCTGTGTTAAAGCAAAGAAAGATTACATTGTGTCGAACTTATGTCAAATTGTTTTGTCATAAACCTAACCTATTTGTTAAAACATGTTAGGTATCCTAGTGTGTAGAACAAAATCTAGCCAATTGTGTATATAATGTATGATGTGTGATAATGAATAGATTAGAGACTGGAATCCCTAGAATGTTTCCTTGCTTGATAGCTGAAATTTAGCATTGACTGGTTCTGTGCACAGAAGTCACATAGCTGCTTCCACCCTGGCTGAAAGCCCCATCATCTCTTGCCTGGATGGCTGCAGTAGCCCCTGAATTGGCCTTTCTCATTCCACCCTTAACCTCCTTCAATCTATTTTCCACCCAGCACCCAGAGGGATACTCTTAAAATGTGAACTCAGATCACACCCCACTCTGTTCAAAACCCTCCAATGACTCCCTGTTTCTCTTGAAGTCAAAGCAGAAGCCCATCTTTCACTAAAGGCCTCACCTGACCAGGCTATCTCCTCTCTTCCAGCCTCCGTTACCACTGGCCCCCTCTTTTCCTTCTCCTATTATTTCCTCCCCTGCAGCTACCCTGCTTTTCCTACTGTTCCTCAACACAGGACTCCTCAACCTCAACACCATTGACATTTTGGGCAGGATCCATCATTCCTTGTTGTGAGCGGTTGTTTTGTGAATTGTAGGGCATTTAGTTGTATCCCTGGCCTCTACCCAGGAAGGCCAGCAGCATGCCCCCATCACGGTCATGACAAACGAAAGCACCTCTAGACACCGCAAATGTCCGGTGGGGACAAAATCATCTGGATCGAGAGCCACAGCTCAAACACATCCAGAGACGTGGGGCCTTTGTGCTGATTGCCCCCTCATCCCGTGACAACTCCCACATCTCCTTCAAGTCTTTGCTCAAATGTCACTATGAACAAGTCCCACCCTGATCTGCCTGTTTAAAACACAATCCTAATTCAGATCTCCTGCTCCCTGGCACCATAATCCTTAGTACATTCTAACAGACGATCTAGCTTCCTTCTTGAGTTTGTTATTTATTGTCTGTCTTCTCTGATAGAGAGTCAAACCCAGGAGGAAGAAACTTTGTCTTGTGCACTGGTGGATGGATCCCCAGTGCTTAAAGTAGGGTCTGGTCCATGGAGGCCTTAATAACGGTTGCTTGAATGAATATAATCACGAGGGGAAAAAACGAGTTCTTAATTTTTCATGGGGACACCAGAACTTCATCATTATGAAATGAAAGGCTCCCAAATAAACAGCCCACATCACTTGGATGTTCTGTCCTGAATGGCACAGTCATTGCCCTTCTGAGAACTGAAGAATCATCTCCAAACCGACTTTCCCTCCCTGGCTCCCTGCAAGTTTATAGCCTGAACTTTGATGGCCCTCCTGGGTCTTCCAAAGTGCTCTCCTAACTGGAGTGACACCTTTTCAAGGGGCAAGGGAGAGTGGAAGAACATTCTTATTTGTTCTTCCCTTTGGATTGCTTTCTAACTGAACTTCCCTTAGGAATTTTTCATTAAAAACAAAGCAACACAATTTAAATCACTCTGATTTAAAGAAACAAACTACTCATTTTTAAAAAATGAACTGCTTATGCTATTTGTGATTTCTTTCAGTAATAAGTTGTTAAAGAGGAAATAAATGCAGGTTTACCCAGTTTCAAAAACTATGCTTGTAGAGAAATTCGAACTTTTAAAACAGATATTTTAGGGGTGATGAATCAAAGTACAAAAGAGTCTTCAAATTCCCCCCCCAAAAGACTCTTTGTTTTACAAAAGGACTCAAACCATGGGCTCTATCAAAAAATTCCTTAATAACTCATTAACTTAGGTACCTGGGAACATAGAAAGTTATGACTGATTAACAATTAATCAGAAATGAGGATGAAAAATTACTAAACTTTTAACACAAGCTAACGGAAAAACATTTGCGTTACAGAAGCTCAACTTACACTGGTTTTGTTTGTCAGATAAAAAACAGAATGCCCAGTTAAATTTGAACTTCAGGTAAATTTGTCCAAATCCATAGCATGTACACATCAAGAGTGAATGACAATATAAACTATGAACTTTGGGTGATTGTGATGTGCCAGTATAGGTTCCTCAATCGTAACAAACATCCCACTCTGGTGGGGCTGTGGATAATATGGGATGCCACGCATGTGTGGGGACACGGGGGTGTATGGGAACTCCCTGTCCCTTCCTCTCAATTTTGCTGACAATCTAAAACTGCTCTAAAAAATATAGTCTAGGCCAGGAGCAGTGACTTACGCCTGTAATCCCACCACTTTGGGAAGTAGAGGCAAGATAATTGCCTGAGCTTAGGGGTTCGAGAACAGCCTGAGCAACATGGCGAGACTTCATCTCTACAATAAATCACAAAAACTAGCCAGATGTGGTGGCATGCATCTGTAGTTCCAGCTACTTGGAAGGCTAAGGCAGAAGGATTGCCTGAGCCCAGCAGGTTGAGGCTGGGGTGGCTGTGAGTGTGCCACTGCACTTCAGCCTGGGTGACAGAGTGAGACTCAGATTAAATAATAAAACAAACAAACAAATAAATAAACAAGTCTAAGGTCAGGCGCAGTGGTAATCCCAGTAATCCTAGCACTTTGGGAGGCTGAGGTAGGAGTATTGCTTGAGCCCAGGAGTTTGAGACCAGCCTCAGCAACATAGCAAGACCTCTTCTCTACAAAAAAAAAAAAAAAATTAGCCAGGCATCATGGTGCGTGCCTATAGTCCCAGTTACTCGAGAGGCTGAGGTGGAAGGATCACCTGAACTCGGGAGGTTAAGGCTGTGGTGAGCTGTGATGGTGCCACTGTATTCTAGCCTGGGCAACAAAGAGACTTTGATTTAAAAAAAAAAACTTTAAAAAAAAAAAGGCTTCCTGGCATGTGGCTAATGAGAACTCCTCCTCCCTTTGATGAGAAAATCTCCCTCATAGCTTGTTGCTAATGTGGAACTATTATATAATTCTCAAGTTCAGGCTGTAGGCAACTCCTATTTAGATAAAGGGATTTTTTTCTTCTTTTTTTTCTTCATCTTCTTGAAAAATAGGACAAACAACAAATATTTATGTTTGAAGTTTTACATAGATGTGAATTCTGGAAACCAGGAAAGAACAACCTTGTATTTTTCAAACCATAGAGCAATAGGCTTGTCTTTTCCAACTAAATTCTAATACGAGGCCTCTGGATGCCAGTTGAGTTCATTCATAGACAGAACCTCAATTTATCAATGTGAGGCATTGGGGGGTAGGGGGGTTAGGAGCCATGCACTCTGCAGAGAGGTACTGGGAAACCTCATTGAACCTGTCCTTAAGAATTCTGCAGGTCAGGCTTGGTGGCTTAGCCTGTAATCCTGGCACTTTGAGAGGCAGAGGCGAGTGGATTGCCTGAGCCTGCAGGATCAAGACCAGCCCGGGCAACTTGGTGAGACCTCTTCTGTACAATAAACCAAAAATTAGCTGGGCATGGTAGTGCGCACCTGTAGTTCCATCTGTTCAGAAGGCTGAGGCAGAAGGATCGCTGGAGTCCAGCAGGTCTATGCTGGGGTGGCTGTGAGTGTGTCACTGCACTCCAGCCTGGGCGACGGAGTGAGACTCTGACTCAAAAGGAAAAAAAAAAAAAAGAATTCTGCAGAAGCTTCTAACTTATCCCAGGCAAGAAATTCCTGGAGACAACTGAGAAGCCCACAGGTGCCTCAATCTTCCAGGAATTCACTGAGCTGAGGGGACAGAAGAGGGGTTTGGGTTTGTATTCATTCCCTAAGTTAAGACTTACTGGTGTATCTCCTTCTCCATCCTATAAAAG